ATGCCAAACGGGACCTCCCGGGGCCAAATTTTCGGGGCGTGACACGTGACACCATGCCAAACGGAATCTCTCGGGGCGGGTTTTCGAAGCCTCGACGCCATGCCAAACGGAACCTCCCGGGGCGGGTTTTCGAAGGCCCGACACCATGCCAAACGGAATCTCCCGGGGCGGGTTTAGGAGTCCCGACACCATGCCAAACGGGATCTCCTGGAACCAAATTTTCGGGGTGTGACCCGTGACATCATGCCAAACGGAACCTCCCGGGGCGGGTTTTCGAAGCCCCGACATCATGCCAAACTGACCCCCGGGACCATTACTACCCAAAACTACAAAAGAACACGGGAAATGATTAAAATATATACAAAAAAAAAAAAAAAAAAAAACATTGACAATCACCAATATATATTTAAAATCGCTAGAAAACTATGGTAATCATTAAAAGATCACCCAATACACAAAAAAAAACAATGAAAAACATTAAAATATACCCAAAACAACAAAAAAACACTAAAAATCATTAAAATATGCCCGACGGACCCTGTCCGCGGCGGGGGGTCTCCCGCGGAGAATCTGGCCCCGATTCCCCACGGGAGAGCATTCACAGCGGACGGAGCCCTCGGGGAGCCCCCCAACGGGCCCTGTCCGCGGCGGAGGCTCTCCATGGCAGAATCTGCCCAGATTCCCCACGGAGAATTCATCCGCGCGGAGGAAGCTTCGGGAGTCTCCGACGGAACCTGTCGCGCGGCGGCCGAACAACTACAAAAAAACACCCCGAAATCGTTTAAAATATACACAAAATCAAAAAAAAAAAAAAAACAAAAAAAAAAAAAACTGAAACACTAAAATATGCGAAAATCACTAAAAACTATGGAAATATTAAAATATACCCAAACTGGAAAATCACTAAAAATATGCACGACAGCGACATGTCGCGGCGGGGGGTCTCCCGTGGAGAATCTGGCCCCGATTCCCCACGGGAGACCATCCGCCGCGGACGGGGCCCGACACCATGCCAAACGGGACCTCCAGGGGCGGCATTTCGAAGGCCCGACACCATGCCAAACAAGACCTCCGGGGACCAAATTTTCGGGGCGTGACCCATGACACCATGCCAAACCTCGGGGAGAGGCGCCCATGGGCCCGACACCATGCCAAACGGGACCACCGGCCAGAAGCGCTCCTGGGCCCGACACCATCCCAAACGGGACCTCCCGAGACCAGGTTTTCGGTGCGTGACACCATGCCAAACGGGACCTCCGGGGAAGGCGCTCGTGGGCACGACACCATGCCAAACGGGACCTCCGGCGAGAAGCGCCCATGGGCCCGACACCATGCCAAACGACCCCCCCGCCGCAGACGGAGCCTTCGGGGCCTTCGGGGAGCCCCCAATGGGCCTGTCCGCGGCAGAAATAGCGTCTGCGCCCGGAATAGCGTCTGCGCCGGGAATAGCGTCTGCGCCGGGAATAGCGTCTTCGCTTGGAATAGCGTCTTCGCCGGGAATAGCGTCTTCGCCGGGAATAACGTCTGCGCCGGGAATAGCGTCTTCGCCGGGAATAGCGTCTTCGCCGGGAATAGCGTCTTCGCCGGGAATAGCGTCTTCGCCGGGAATAGCGTCTGCGCCGGGAATAGCGTCTTCGCCGGGAATAGCGTCTTCGCCGGGAATAGCGTCTTCGCCGGGAATAGCGTCTTCGCCTGGAATAGCGTCTGCGCCGGGAATAGCGTCTTCGCCGGGAATAGCGTCTTCGCCGGGAATAGCGTCTTCGCCGGGAATAGCGTCTGCGCCGGGAATAGCGTCTGCGCCGGGAATAGCGTCTGCGCCGGGAATAGCGTCATATTCCCCGGGAATGGGGATCCTCGCCGGGAATAGCGTCTTCAAGCACATTTGCGTCTTCAAACGGAATTGCGTCTTCAAGCGCATTTGCGTCTTCACCCTGTGGTTGCGCAATTGCGTCTTCAAAGCGATTAGCGTCTTCACCCGCTCGACCGCCCCTGGCCAATAGCGTCTTCAAATAGCGTCTTCGTCTTCAGGCCTTTTGGGGAACCTCGTGTGCCACCTCAATGTATATATATGTCCATATAAGTATGTACGTGCACATCTCTCTTCCCCTTTCTCCTTCGCTGCGACGCCTACAGACCATCCTCCTGACATTGCCTGTGGGCGGGCTGTTTCGCTGGACTCGTCGGCGGCCTCGAGTTGAGCCAGCCGGGGGGGGGGGCTGCAGCCACCTGCCGGAACGCACGACCAACCCAAGCTGGAGAGGGGAGGATGGGGAAGAGGAAACGAGTACAGTCGGGGCGTTGACCTAAGGAACCCTAAATAAGGAACGAGGTCTCTTTATTCAGATGTTAAACGTCGATTTCCCATCGAAAACCTCAAAACAAAACAAAAAACAAAAAAAAGTGAAGTGCAAAACTATTAAAGAACACTGAGACCCTCCAAAACGAAAAGGCTTCCTTCTGCAGAGCCCCGACTGCACATGCGGATGATGGGAGCAAGCGCAAAATGGCAAACACAGCCCAACGCGACAGTCGGCCTCGGCAAAGAAGTCTAAATCAGAAGCCGCCGAGCGGGAGAAGGACGGAGGGGGGGAATAAGTGAACGCGAGGATGAGGAGGAGGAGGAGGACGACGATCATAATAATAACTACGGCACTGATGAGGATAACACCTTGATCTGCTCATGGACGCCATCTTGGAAACGACGTCATACTCATGCACCTTCCTGGAAGCACCTCCTCCCGGAAAGCAT